AGTGGAAATATAAAAAGTTTACAAAATCTGTTTAACGGACCGTATGTTTGACTTGTCTACCAATTCGGTCGCTTGCCTAGCTTGAGGGGCAAGTACTAAGGAGGTATCGCGACATCTAGTGCTTGAGAACTCGCCTCAGGTAAGGATGCCTTTGTGATAGCATCCCAGTGGGTTGCAAGTGGTTCGTCAAATAAGCCAGTTTGAGACCGACGACAGATACCGTTGTTCGGTGACCAGTCTGTACTAAGGTGAAAAGATTTGGAGTTCGTTGCGGGAATATGAAAGAGCCAATGTAGCGAGGCCGGTGAAAAGCCGCACCGCGTTGGTGCGACGGAAGCCGTGAGTGTAGGTAGAGAGTCCGCTACGCATTTACACGTATAGGTTGCTTACCGGGCGGCCGGGCGTAGTGTACGCATGCGCTAAGCTAGGGTGGACGCAAAGATAGGCGGAGGCGTACCCGACGATGCGGGAGGCGAAACGGATTCACCTGGCAACGTTGGCGTTGTGTCGTAAACCGGCTCTGCTGGTGCACATTGTACGTCAGATTTGATGCTGCAGCGAATACCTAAGCGTACGAGCAAAACGCTTTTGCTCCAGCTAGGGTCGGAGGGGCGCAGAGCAAGGATTTAAGCTGTCTATGGGAGCGTTCAACTAATTATTTGGCTGCTGGGTAATAAGCTATGGCCTGAAGGCGTCGACAACCTAAAAACTTGCAGAAAGTATCGATTTGTGTAGATTGGAAAGGGGTTCCTCGGTCAGTTGTAATATTGCATAGGCATCCGTAGTGCTAGGCCCACTGGTCCAAGAGAACCTGGATAACCTTCTCAGCTGTGTAGTCGGTTACAGGAATGGCTTCTGGCCAAATGGTGAAGGGGTCGACGAATCCTCGTGAATGAGGCAAATGATCTACCAGACCTAAGTTTACGTACGAGAAACGCTAGTCCGGGGCGGGAACTGAACCAAGAGGACTGCGGGTGTGACGATGTATTTTGGAGCTTGGTCATTGATCGCAGGCGCGAGCCCAGATGCGCACATCTTCGTATACGCATGGCCAAACGAAAGGATCGGTGATCAGTTTCATAGATGCACGGATACCGGAAGGTGATAGTGATTGCGGTGCGTCAAAGACTGCCTCTGAAGGAGACGGACGCGAGGTATTTAGCACAACCTGTGGAACTGTCACAAAGAATGGTTCCTTCCGTGCTTTGGAGAAAAACAGGTTGCACATGCGGGGCAGTGGACTGGTGTACGCTGTATGTCTTTATCTTAAGTCTGAGCTGGGGCCATGTCAGCAAGATCGACGGTAAGCAAAGACTAGAGAGTGAGGTTGACGCGTAAGAGAATGCGGCGACGGGATTATCGACATCGGAGACATGACGTATGTCAGCAATGAATTGCGTAACAAAGCCTAGGCGTCTTGCTTCCGGTGGTAAGTATTTGTCTCAAGTAGCGTTGAAGGCGAAGATAAGAGGCTTGTGTTCAAAGTAGACCATAACAGCCCGGTCCTCCAGTGTGTGCCGGAAGTGCCGAATGGTTAGGTACATAGCGAGCAGTTAACCGCTTAACCTACTTTGGTAGGGTAAAGCTGGCTGCAGGCGTTTGGAGAAGAACCCAAGGGGTTGCCAATGCTTACCAACTTGTTGTTGGAGGACGGCTCCTACCGCGACATCTGAGGCATCCGTTACAATAGAAAGGGGTGCAGTCGCTTCGGAATGAGCGAGGAGGGCTATGTTGGTGACGGCCTCCTTGCGCTCGGTGAAGGCTTTCGTTGGTGTGCCAGGGAAGTGTACATACGTCCATCCCTCTGAGTAGGTCAGTCAGAGGTTGCGTGAGGTGAGCATAGCTCGGAATGAAGCGTCGATAGTAGTTAATCAAATCCAACAATTAACGGAGTTGCTTGAATGAAGTAGATGCTTGTAAGTCCTTGATTGCCTGGATCTTACCACGAAGGACTTCGATACCAGACGATGAAACGAGGTGGCCTAGGAATCCTACCGTTGATTGGCCGAGTTCGCACTCAGCCGGGTTCAATGTGAAACCGTGCCGAGTCAAGCGCTGGAAGAGGTTTTGAGGGTGGTTGAGACGCTCTTGTTTCGATAAACTAGCTAATAAATATCATCGAGGAAGGAATAACAGAAGTTTAGACTACAAGGTACATCGTGGCTGAAGCCTTGGAAGGTATGTGCGGCGCACAGTCCAGGCAGCATTCACAAAAATTCAAACAAGCTGAAAGCACAGATACCGGCCGTGTTAGGAACGTCATTTTCTTCTATGGGAATCTGGTAACAGGCAAAAACAAGTTCGATCCTGCTTAAGATCGTCTTGCCTGTGAGGCATGAGGTATGGTCCTGTGTGTGGGGAATGGGACACCTATCTGTGACAGTTAGCCGATTGAGTGCGCGGTAATCACCATAAGGGCGCCAGTCAACTGATTTCTTGCGGACAATCTTCAGGGAAGAGGAGAAAGGGTTGTCGGAAGTGCGGAGTATTCCAAGCTCCAGCATGTTCTAAAACTCCGCTTTAACTACCTTTCGTTTCTCGGGCGACAGCCATCGAGAACGGCATGAGATATGTGTACCGTCCGTCCCTATATGATGCATGACTTGGGATGTCACGGGAAAGCTGCGTCCATTGGCTGAACGAGCATAGAATACTGGGAAAAGTGATGGCGAGATCTGGGGAGAGACGTAGACTGAAGTTATAGATTTGATTTCTGCTGCGATGCCACGTACAATGAGCTTCGTCGCGGTGTAAACTATCATCTGAGGTTCCGCATGGACCTAGAGGTCGAAGCGAATGAGAAAGTCAATACCGATGACTGCGAAGGGGACTGCATCGTCTGTAAATACCCAGCGGAACTTGCGCCGAAGCCCTAGGTTAGCGACCGCTCTCCGTAGGTGGCTATTGGGGTATCATTAGCAGTACTTAAGCTTGTCGACAAAAAGCGATAGGCTCACCTGGCGTAGGGGGATGACGCTGACTTCCGCCCCGGTGTCAACCAAAAACTGTGTCTCGGAACCATAATCCTTTATGTTGATAAGACGGCATTGAGTTCTGCCAATTTCCTTTGTGGCCGTTAGAGGCCGGTGTGACAGGTCCACTGTAGCGGAGTCGCTACAAGGCTCTAACCACTTACGGGCTTTAGTACCGAAACGCGATCGGTAAATGCAGTAACCAGGGGCATCAAGTTTTGTCCGACGGGGCGATGATCCAGAGCAGCTGTGGTGCTTACGGTTTAAGCTGTGCTCCTCGCTCTGGCACTTAAGTGATACTAGATGCGTTGGTAATTCGCCTATTGCCGACGGTTGGCTAATCGTGGGTGTCGGTGTGGTTTCGCCAGCACAAAGCCACTTAGGTGTTTTGGCTGTAGCCTCTGGCACATGTCGGTCGATGACGCAGTCTGCTAGGTCTGCAATTGCTGTGCGTGGCAGGTCACTTGTTGGTGCAAGGATAGCCCGCGTACTTTTGGGAAGGTGTTGCATCCACAATTTGCGGAGAAACCCTAGGCCAAGGTTGGACGTGCCAAGCTTTGCATTTCACGCAACAAGAATGAGGGCATCCCATATCCTAGCTGCAGATCACCAAATGGTTGCTGCAGACGGACCTTTTCAGAAGGCGTGATTCGCAGAATACTGGCCTGTGTAAGTCTCGCATTTCATTACATGAGGTGAGCAAAATATGAAGTCTCTCGTCTGCGACGATACATTTTTAGCTGAGTAAACAAGGAGAAATCCGAAGAAATCCTACGATTGTAGAGTACAGATTCTAGGTGCAAAAACCATAAGGAAGGATCAATCGCCTAAAAAGATGGAGATGACAAAGCAACAGAATTAGTCATGGCAGGCTCAAAAGCGCTAACCGCATATGAAGATGGCTCATCCTCTAGATGATCTATCGTAAAAAGCGAATATCACGTGCGGTGAGAAAACAAAATGATTACAAGTATTGAATCACAAAGCAACTGGAAAAAGCTCATGATCATGATAATTCGAAATGGCTGACGGCTTTTACTGGACCGAAATCACTTATTGTTGGTTGCTGCCGGGGATACTAGTCGATGAGTAATGACAGTAAGAGCCGTGTCAAATCGGGACAATATAGAAGTTGAAGGCGATTGAAACCAACATGTAATGTGCAGGCTACAAACATGGAAAGCAAATCAACTAACGCGAGAAACGGTATGGCAAGCTCATTACGAAAACAGATTGTGCCAACGGAAGTCCCGACAGTAAACCAAGTTAACTTTTTGAAGGTTATTACAATTCTAAAATCCAATGTTGCACAATACCGAAAGAGATAGTTATCACGTGCACTGCGGGCTACGATCGACTGCATGTGAGTTTAATCGACTTCACGGTGCACCTAGTGTTTTAAAAGTCATATACACAACAAATGTTTGTAACTGATGGAATAATGTTTAACGACCTAACGTGTGGATAGCTAATGGAGAATAGTAAAAATTTTCGATTTTGCTTTGTTTTCGTACTATGGTTTGGTTGCTTTTTATCTGCAATAATGAGCAACTTGTTTATAGTAAAGTCATGTTCTAATGCAACGTTAAAATCCGTGGGGCTCTTTTGTTTTGAAGGTTGCTTTTGCTATAGCGCTGAGGTCGTAGCCATCGCTCGAAACAAGATAGTTGACATTTGTTGCGGGGCCGTTAGATTGCACAATGGCGGGTACACATGAATTTCCGCTGCGTCTTTAGTACAGCATTCAGATAAATTCACGAAACATCTTTTGCAATAGCATTAAAACCGTTTATAGTAAACAAATATACAGGGTACTATATTCAACATTATAAAGCGACATATAAAAGTTTTTTATCAATACATTAAAAGTAACACGGTTTAACCTAAAGTAATGTACGTAATCGTGCACGTGAAATTTTATGCGCATCAATTTCAGAAAAACAAATATTCAATATTGCTGGGCTGCATGGTAAACAACGGGTGGAGCAAAAATTGGCAGCCAACTAGAAGTTGTGCTGCGGAACCTCCGCCTGCCAAGGAATTTCTCGACATTGTGCAACCACACACTCCCCTTCGCTAAATGCAAATAATTTCACCCTGAGTACATTATGATGGGTCCTCATTTGAAAATCCTACAAATATTACATTTAGTTCCCATTAAAAGCATGTTTAAATTTTCTTAAACTTACATAACCTCGAAACGTGAAAACGAAGGATCTTAACCAATCATTAACCAGGTTTGTTCGGAACATTTTGGCAAATCCTTACTAATTTAATTACCTGTATCTAATCCCAGTATACCGTCACGTGTGGTACGAGTGACAAAACTGACTATTGGCTGTTTTCGCGTTTAGTATGAACGTTTTTGTTCCCCTGGGCTCTGTGTGTAATGACTTGGGTGAATCTAGTCATTCGTGGAAAGTTTTCCAGAAGCGTCTCAACATATGTTGTGTATGCACTTTTTGGTCGAAAACATTTTCAAATAGTCGTAACAGTCCTGGCAGCACAATCGTAAAAACAATCATAGGGAACTGGACGAAAACTGGGTGAAGGTCCCGTTCGTTAATAAAACGTTATTCCTACTGGGTGTCAATTACCATACTTACTAACGCTAAATATATAGTTGACGTGTATGAACAACTCTTTGTAACTGATTAGTTATTTCAGTGGTAGACTCGTTTAACTATATGATTTTGCAACGTTAATTTGGGCGGGGCTAGGTCTGTGTACAGATCCAATCACAACCGTCTATCTCGTCTATTTCTAGTTCTATGTATCACATTGAGACACGCAGCACCTTTACTGCGCTATGTGTAAAGGCGCTAGGAAAATGTTTATCTTCAAAAGAAGTAGATAAACCTAAATTTAAAGGGTACGTGTCGATGTGGTATTTGCAGATAATTATTCAACTTTCTGATTGGCCAACGAAGGATCATTTTGATTCGTGCATCGTAAACTGTACAGAATGGCAGCATTAGCTAGTGGAGAGCTATTGTGTGGGCGGAGTAAAGCTAGTCAGGTATAGAACGCTTATAGAATGGCCCGCGGAACGGTGGCCTTTGCTCAGGAAAATTAATATGGACCAAATCAAACTTTGCCGTCTCACGGGCCACATTCCTGTCCAGTTTAGCCCGTACGTTTTGGCACCCTAATCAGCACAGGAATTGGACTTGTGCTACAGGGGAGTATTGAAGACGTTAGACCACATAGAAGCTTTTAGTGGCTAGGTCATTGGATTTCATTGGGGTGGAAGAGAGCTGAAAGTAGATCCTGGGTCAGTTTCATGACATCCCATTCAGATGAGGGCTAGCGCGGATCCTTGCGTTACATGGTTCCACAGGGAACATCATTATCGCAGCGGAAACAACACGATCATTACTTACTCGGCAAGGGACGCTCAGGGATGGCACTCTGCCAGTCACCGGCTCTTAATTAATTTACGGTTTTATTGAAAGTGTGTTATCTATATGTAAGTAAAGTTACCCCTAACAATTAATTATGATGCTAGATTTTAGAGTTAAGCATGTGACGCCCTTACTGTACTAATATTATTTTTATCTGTGCGAATGACTAGAAATACCACCAAATGGGACAGTTTAACGTCGATTTTGCCGACGTGGTTAATTGCCATAATGCAACACTTCAAACGTGCTGAAGTATTACGAATTTTTTGAGTGGCCGAATTTCATATGTTATGCATGACATTGGAACGGCGAATTCAAAACGAGCACTCAGCGACAGTCTATGGGTTACATACGCTGATTTTACCTACGTTTTATTTAAAAAGTAACAGCGTGTAGGCAACTACCAGTAAACTTAACGATGCATCAGTATACTTAATGCTGTTTTTAAGCACGGTGTGTCACATACCTTCTTATATTTTTTCAAGTGCGTAAAAGCACAACGGAATAGAATATCAAAATATTCCTCTGTGCTGACAAAGACTTAACCTGTCAAAAATATGTTGACAATATGGTTTATCAGATTGTATGAAGATGAATTATTCTCAACGAAAGGCGATGCACATTTTTGGTGGTGTAAGTTAAATTAATGGAATTTAGTACAGCATTCCTTTAGGGCATATCTCGTGTTGGTTTCATTCACGAAATTCCACTTTCAGAACGTAGTACTGTTCTTAATAGTATATACAATAGCAGATACATGAATTCCCATTAATGCAGTAGTGAAGCGAGATTAGTATTGTTCGGCTGAGCGAGTGGTTTCTCGTGTCACATATTTGGTTTCCAGTCACAAATTAATATTAGGCAATTTTAATCCTTGTAATTAACAAGTGCCACTATGTTCACAGACGTTTCATACTTAGATAAGTTGGATATATATCTACTGTGTGTTCCAGGTTGTTAACCCGGTTATACTGTACAAAGGCGTTGCAAATATAATACTTTTTTATCCAGATAACAAATACAGTCACCTAGATTTGGCGAGACTGTTCTCATGGCCTGAGCAAACATATCAAAGACTGAATACTGAGAAAATGCAGAGAGTAGAGATGCCTCTGTGTAACTACATAAATATGTTGTAAGCAAATCTACCTATTATGATAGTGATTATTCTCGAAGTCTCAAGTTGGCAAAGTGCGAGTCCACGAGTTACTTAACCTCCGACACCAGCTTTGCTTCAACTATGTCTGCAGGCAGGTTGTTCTAAATATTCACCACCCTCCGCTCGAAACAGAGTTAGTGAGCGACGCGCTTCAAATTCAGTACGATAAGATTGTATTGGTGTCCTCATGTGCTGCTTTGTGTGCGCAGGTGAAGCAGCGACCTTAACCTGGTGTACTCACCAAGATGTCATATCCGGTGCGTCATGACGAGGTCAACCCACATTCGTCGACCATAGTTCTTTGCATCGGTCTTCATATAGCAATCTCGTAAACCGGGATGAGGCTTGTGGCCACATTATGTACCCGCCAAATCCTTTACACCTGGGCTCCGGGTGAGTGGACAGGAGACGGATGAGCTGTCCTCTAACATTGGTCTAAGGATAGAGGAAAAGAGGCGGGTGTCTACCTCTTCGGACCAAGTGCAGTAGCTGCGTCTTAGCGCCCAGAGCATCCGCAGTCCGTTTTTTAAAGCCTGTTAGTGTTTTCAGCGGAGTTCAAATCGCAACGTGAGAGAACGCCACGATTTTTCATGGATGGTGATGTTGTAACTGTTGGCCTTCCAGACTGTTGACTCGGCAATTGCCAACCTTGCCCAGGCTCAAGAATACCGACTTGACCGGATCGCCCAAAAGTTTGACTTATGCTGACCACATGGAGACTCGGTCAAGGTCATGCTGAAGCAGCTTGCGGCTGTCTGGCGCCTCAATTACATTTAAACTAATAGCAATTACTCCATCAACTGTTCATCAGTATCGAGCACACAACTGCAAGATTACAGTTTAGTTATGCTAGTGACACGCTTAGAAACCCTGGTGACAGCATGGAAACTGTAGACAAAATACATCGTATGGGTAATTGTACGGTTAAATCTGTGCTTGTTGTTGTATGCTGATGTACCTGAATGGCTCTATTTAGCTGACGGTCAAACTTAACGATTACAAATTGAATTTACTACCGGCGTGCACATTCGCATCTTTTATTATTAATGATGCAATAACTTCGCCGTAAACTTTTGAAGAATAAATTCTCAAATCGTGTAGCAAGGTTTTAACTTTATTTGGCTTGAGGTGCATTTCATCACAACCGCTGTTCAGGAATCAGTTGATTGAAGTGCAAAGTGTTGCGCTACGAGCTAGAACGATCGACTTGTCTACTTTATGTAGAAAAATAAATGTTCCATTTTAATTTGTAGAGGAATAAAGCGCCAATCATTCTACCGTAATCGAGGACTTCTCGCGATAGCTGCAGGAATCTACCGACAGTGGTAGATGAAGAATTAGCATAATCCGCAAATTAAATTATATGGGGGTAGAGCATACCGCTACAATTTTATCTGCTTTATCAATTACAAAATGTTATAGATAGTGAAATGTGACTGAAGCCTATAAGAGGTACCGGGCACAATACCTTGGAACTGCTTCCTAGAATATTTGCGAGTGTAATCCGATAGAATAAGTCAGGTCAACATCCGATAGGTTATCAATTCTTGTACGAATATTCAGCAATTCCGCCACATACATGATTCTCATGAAAATTCCTAAGAAGTGTTGGGCGGAGCCTGGGATACTAGTCGGTAAGCAATGACACGTAAGACGTGTCAAATACGACAGTATAGAAGTCGGAGGCGGCTGAACCCAACGTGTATTGTGCAGGCTACAAGAATAGGAAACGAATCAGACAGAGCGAGAAACGTGCAGCAAGGGACTCACCAAAACGGTTTGTGACAATGGATGTGCAGTCAGTTAAACGAATGGACGTTTCGAAGGTTAAAACAACCATAAAATCCAATGTTACAAGATACTGAAAGAGCATGTTTTCTGTTGCACTACAAGGGCCTCCCCCTAGAAGGCTGAAGGATGGAAGCCTTCGATGGAGCTGCTAGTGGGGGGAACGGAAGGTGAGGGTGGATGCGAATGTTTGCAGGGGCTTGAGAAGGGCTTCCAAAGTGGGGTGTGTAGCAGATTTCGCTGGGTCCAGGCTTTTGTTAGTGTTATTTATGACGATCGTGTGGACCAGAGTGCATCATCGGTGGGCCGTCGGGGCGGGCTGGTCAGACTGCAAAAAAAACTGGCTAGTCCAGGAAAAAGGCCGACAGGACCTTCCCTTTCCTGCAGACTCGACGGTGCGCTTGGGAGGTGTCACTCCCCCCACCGCACTTTAGTCCACGATCCTCGTCCCACGAAGAAATCCAGGCGTCCTCGTCTCTCGGAGAAATCCGGGCGTCCTCGTCCCACGAAGAAATCCAGGCGTCCTCGTCGGCAATGCCTAGGCGGCGTTTGGGGACCAATCCGTTCGCGGGTGTCTGCGATCGAGGGCGACTCTCTGTTCCTTGGGCGAGGAAGAGGGCTGTGGGACGGCTGGTGAGTCACTCCAGGGTTGCGTTGAGCCAGTTGGCGAGTCACTCGAGGGTTGCCTGGGCAGTTCCGGCGGTTGAGTTTCTGGAAAGTAAAACTCAGAGGGGGTTGGCAAGGGTCGGGGAAGTGGCTTGACGCCGGAGAGGGAACATGGCATGTATGATAAAAGCAAATAATCTTTTTATGTTTTTCAAAATGTTTTGGGTTTTTTGTCGATTTTGCAAAACGTTTGTGGGTGAGACGCAGGATAACCATTAAA